TCAGCATTCTTTTTTCTTTGTTATTAAGATAATTTTGTGTATTGTATATAATCAGATAAAAAAATAAAGCCATCAGTTCTCAATTAAGACAAATTTGTTCTACTCATCAAGACGAACAGTTTGATATATAATATGTTACAGATGGATAAAAATTGACGATTTTACATCAAGAAAACTTCAAACTTCTTTGTCAAAAAACTACTATTAGCGTAACACTGTAAATCCTTGGTCAATTATCGTGAAATCTAAAAACCTCATTGGCTAATTATCCTAACCTAACCAATCACGTGTGTTAATTATGGTGATCAAAATTTCACGATGATCCGTGACAATTACTTATGTTTAAGCTTTCGTTGTCGTGAAAAGGGTATGTTTGTAAATATGTTTGTAATAGTTCTTCTGACTTAATTCAGATAATATAGTCTAATCTCCACCATTTTGAAAGGATTTCACAAATTTTTATTGCTCATAGGCAGTTTATTCCAACATTTCTTCATAACATTGTGGCGTGTTCTTGATAATTTGTTGGTCATAAAACATTACAGAATATTTCTATCTCTATTTGAAGTCGTACTCTAAAATCAAGATTATAAAATTTCCCACATAATTATCCCAAATGAATGAATATCTGATGTTGCTTTATATTGATCTCTGTCTAAATTTTACGGTACCATATAGAAATATGATAAAATTTTATAAACTTCACGACGTTCGGCCTTTAAGGTTATGCTTGTTGACATTGAAAGTTCCAAGTCTGTAATGTATACATTATGTTTGGTATAAAAATTGGTAAAAAAAACGGCCAGATTCCCGATTCTCAGCTTCATGTGTGGTATGTTGTGCCTAGAATTTGTTAATCAACTAATTTGAAAGCAGTAATCTTAATTATCTAAATTTCATTTAAGAGCATCTATTAATCTATAATCCTTAATTTCGTTTCACTCAGATAGTTTAGAAAATAAAGTATAAAGTCACTTATTAATCTGAGTATTTACAATAAACGATCCAAATTTATGAAATGTTTACCGTTTAGCATCATATTAACTCTTTATTTAGGGATATGCATAGAGTGAATTTATCAATCTATGTGTTTAAAATAAGCTATTCATATTTATTATAACACGAATAAAGTATGGTCAAACATATAAACTAATATAAAACTCAAGGGTAAGTAATAGAAAATTAAAATTCGAAAAAATGAAATTGTCAGGATGATAAAAGTCGAGCAAATGAAATAGTGAGGAAATGAAAGTGTTGAGATGCAATTATTAATGAAATGGTTGTATCGGAAAGTGAATATTGGAAAAATGATTGTTAGAGAAACATATAAGTGTGACTCGGTGCATTAGAGAAACATATTATTATTATGATTATAATGAATAATAACTTTACGAGAATTTTATTTTTGGGATTTAGCTTTCGGGGATTATGTATTCAGGATTTTGTTCTTGAATATTGAGACTTTAAAGTAAACCTAAATAATTTATGCAATGAAAATATTCATCTATTTAAAATAAATTTGAAATAAATTTACTAATCACAGTTCATAACACTAATTGCGTATAATGAAATTCTGTCGAGGACCCCCATACAAGATCTTTTGACAAAATTCAAAATAATCATTGCATAATTTATCAAACCACTTTAGCGAATATACTAAATAAAATTTTGACAAATTAATCGATTTCGCATTTATAGAAATTTTGTTCCATATTTTTTCATTTTAAATTTGATTTAAATTTTGTTCCATATTTTTTCATTTTAAATTTGATCTAATTCATTCAATTTTTCTTAAAAAATAAATGTTGCAAAAAAAAAATTAAATTAAATTAAAATAAATTAAAATTAATTAATTTCTAATTTTGACAATTCGCTATCTGCGTTCAAAATTGAATTCGTGCAAGGAATAACTTTACTTGCACCGCCGTGAATATCTGCATACGATTCTTTTAAATTTTCATGTAATATTTTAGAATCATTCAATTCGAACAGAATTTTCTCATTATTTTGCCACCCGCTTATAATATCGCAGAGTTCTTCGGCACTAGGTCTATTTTTCGGCTCATTGTCCCAACATTGTTTCATCAGTTCCACATAACATTGTGGTGCTTCTTTGTTAACGGGTGGTCGTAAATTTTCATAACAAATTTTTATTTGAAGCCCGATTTTACTTAAGTTAAAATTATAAGAAACAGACTTTCCATACAAAATTTCCCACATAACTATCCCAAATGAATAAATATCAGACGATGTAGTATACCGGCCTCCATTCAAAACTTCCGGATCAATATAAGGTAAAACGCCACAAATCTGACCGTCATTTTGTTTTAAACACTCGATTTAAAGTCCCAAGTCTGCAATGTATGCATTATGCAAATAATCTTGTAAAATATTACCACTATGCAAATCTCGGTGAATGAGTTCTTGAGAATGAATTAGTTGAAGATCAGAAGAAATGCAATGCAATAATGTTAATTTTCTTACCCATTCCATTTGTGATATAGAGTAAAGATTGTTTCGCAAAGAACCTTTCGCTGCGCATTGCATCACAAGAATATAGTTTTTAGAAACATTATCTTTTGAAATTCCATAACACCTTAAAAATGTCGGATTTTTATTGCCAATATCACAATATGCTTTTAACTTTTGAATTAAGGATAAGTGGTTAGATATAAATCATTAAAACTTTATACGCATTTACAATATAAATAAAATTACCTCTTTCACAAATTCCTCGTTATACTCTTCTGAATTATGAAGCAATTTAAGTGCAACAGGCCGGTCAACTCTTCGGTCATAATCTCTCCACAAAGCATAATAAACTGTTGCAAATCCACCTTCTCCTATAATTTTAATATTTTCAAATTCATTATAAGGAATCCAAGACAACAAATGTTTGCTTTCGACTAATATCTCTTTCAAATTTTCATCAATATCTAAGTCATCAAATGTTGACCTATTTGTTGCTAACAAATTTTTAAAGTTATATTTGATTGTTTGACAAATAAACATAATCAATAATTATTAATTACTTGATGTTTGTTTCCGTTCTCTAAAATTTTATTTTAATTACGGTTATTAAAAAGAAATATGCAACTTTATCATGGCAACATAAAAATAGCTTACATTTGGTGCCATTCATTAGCTTTTTGTAAGTCTCTTGTTACTCCAATCCCATTTCTATAACAGTATCCAACCATCTGCATTCCAGGAATGTATCCCATTTCAGCAGACTTTTGATAATAAATGAATGCCTTATGTCCATCCTTTTCAACTCCAATTCCATATCTATAACAACGTCCAACAATATATGTTCCCGTAGCGTCTTCCATTTTTGCAGATTTTTGATAATAAATGAATGCCTTATTTTCATCCTTTTTAACTACAATTCCATTTTGAAAAAAATAACCAACATTATATGTTCCCCATGCGTTCCCCATTTCTGCAAATTTTTGATAATAAATGAGTGCCTTATGTTTATCCTTTTCAACTCCAATTCCTTCTTCATAACAAGATCCAACATTATATGTTCCACTAGCGTCCCCCATTTCTGCAGATTTTTGATAATAAATGAATGCCTTATGTTCATCCTTTTCAACTCCAATTCCATTAAGATAACAATATCCAACATTATATGTTCCATAAGCGTCTCCCATCTCTGCAGATTTTTGATAATAACTGAATGCCTTATGTTCATCCTTTTCAACTCCAATTCCATTAAGATAACAGTATCCAACATTATATGTTCCATAAGCGTCTCCCATCTCTGCAGATTTTTGATAATAAATGAATGCCTTATGTTCATCCTTTTGAACTCCAATTCCTTCATTATAACAATATCCAACATTATATGTCCCCAACATTATATGTCCCAGCAACATTTCCCATTTCTGCAGCTTTTTGATTGTAATAGAAGAACATGTAATCATCCTTCTTAATTCCTCTACCGTAATGATAACACTGCCCAACTTGAAATATTCCATTAACATTTCCCATCTTTGCAGATTTTTGATAATAAACGAATGCTTTATGTTCATCCTTTTCAACCCCAATTCCATGCTGATAATTATATCCAAGGTCATAAGGATCTAAATGAGTTAATTCTCTATGATGAACCGAATTATTAGAACCCATTTTACTTTTAAATATGAATCTGGTTTAGTCGTTAAATTATTACAGTATTAAATGCAGGTGCACTAATTTAGTGTTTTGTATCCTTATCACTTATTTGTGTCAGTAACACAAATATAAATACCTAAAAATGAAATTAGCTAGTTGTGTGACATAGCCAGCCTAAAAACCAAGATATGATGTCCAAAAAAATTTGCTTTTTCGTGTAACCCGAGCTTGATAAAAAAATAAACAATTTATTTTGACGCATTATTTCATTCTCCTCATGCGCGCTCTTTTTAGTGGTTCTACTGCACTTTTCGTCGCTCTTTCAACCGGTTCTTTTCTCTGGTGCTTTTTAGACGTTTTTTTAGGTGGTACTTTCAACGTTCTTTCGTCGTTTTTCTAGCGTAATATGTTTTCTTTCGTGGTTTTGTTCGATGGTTTTTGTCACTTTTCCATATTCTTTTTATAATTTGTTTTTTATTCGGTTAACTTAGAGGTTATCGTTGAGGTCAATGTTGATATTAACGTTGTGGTCAACGTAAATATCAACATTGAGATCAATGTCAGGTTGTTATTTAGGCGAAATAGAGATAAAAGTTGGGTTAACACTAGTTGTATTGTAAAAAAATTAGGGTAGTTGTGTGACATAGCCAGCCTAAAAACCAAGTACGATATGATTTCTAAAACATTTTGCTTTTGTGTAACACGAGCTGATCTTTCGTGATTATAAAAAAATAAACAATTTATGTTGACGCTTTAATCAACTTTGAATAGCCTAATCACATATATTGAGAAAGATAGGTACACATAAAGTGAGAGGCAGATTACTAATAAACCCTAACTCATTCAAGAATCTAAAATATATAATAAACCAAAAATTTACATTTAATAATTCCAAACAATACTAAAAGGCAGACCAAATTTAAACATTAAACTTCTTTACTGCTAAAGAACTTTTACCTATTCAAATCAAACAAGGTTTATTTTAAATATAACATAATAAAGTTCTTAAACAAAATGTTGTTTTGAAAAAGTACTTTAAAATTGCCTTCAAATTTTCTTTGCCCATTTCAAAAAGTCGCTAATAAACTAACACTACTTAAATTAGAGATTATTAGAGATTAGTTTTAAAAGCAGTACCCGAGAGAACAATTTATGCAACGTTTTTCAATTTTTTAGTATATAACACTTTAGTTCTTAAAAAATTATTCAAAAGCATATAAATAAGTATGAAGTTACCCGGGCAATTGATCTATATCAGCAAACCAAACAAATTTCTTCCTATAATCTCTCTATAACGAGCCTTTTTATAATGAATCCAATCTTTAATGAATTTTTTTTATTAGAATTCAGTATTGGAACATAGTAAATTACTTCTATAAATAATTTTCTCTATAAGAACTGTCAGTTCATTATATGCAAGTTAACTGTATACGATTTTTGTTCTTTTTCTTTCGTTTGTTAGACAAAAACTAAAGGTGCATTATGTATAGAAATACAGGAAAACATGATAAACAAACGATTACAACTCACTCACATCATAGTAAAGTTCACTGACTGGTCAAAATCTTCACTGTAATTCATATTTGTGAAAGTGTTAAATATACTTTAGAAATAATTCTGTAATTCAAATTCATTATTATATCAATAGCAAGAGTGAGTTGTATTTGGGCATACTGGCTCTTTCTGTTATTTAATTTGTGATATATTTTAGAACACTACAATCTTTTATTGCTTGTTCGATTGATTTAATTGCGTTCATTTAGTTCATTTGTTATAAATCTAATCATAGCAAAGGCTTACTATAATGAGCTTCTATATACATAATGAACTGCGAAACTTTAAATTTATATTATTGGGCTTGGAAAGTGTAGATTTTGTATATTCGATAATTCAATATTTCTTTTAAATCTGTTCGTGATTATTATTTAGTAACCAAGTTTTAATTAGGATATGATTAACTATTATATATTTACTCTCATCTAGTACTTTAAAAAAACAATTAAGAAAGCTCTCCTTTCAAAAATCTTAATATTCAAACATAATAAAATACAATAAAAGATTGATAAAAGCACGAGAAAAAGTAAAATAAAATAAAAGATTGATAAAAGCACGAGAAAATAGAGTTTGAAAAAATTTTTGAATTCAAATTTTTTCCGGAGAATTTTAAGGTCGGAATATCATATGACTGA